TATTGTATTATTTTTATTGTACAAGTGTGGGCGTCCCGAGACGGTAGCGTTCTGGTTCGAAGCCGCCAACGGACACCAGTTCCCAGGTAACAGGCTGACGAGCCTCAGTATTATTATTATTATTATTATTATTATTACACTTTTGTATAGCCAACTTAGGCAAACTTATTATATTATACGGTTGGATTGAGCCAGCTTAGGCCAATTATTATATATTTTTCTTTGTATAGCCAGATTAGGCAAAACATATCATATATTTATTGTCAGCCGACTTAGGCCAATCTTTATATTTATATCTTGTTGCATTAAGCCATCAGGCTCAAATTTACATTATTATACTGTCTTATGTATTGATGAGCCAGCAGGGCTACTATTTATTACTTATATTATTGTTAAAATAAAACTCAATTATTATTATGCATACTATATTAATTATATCATCCTCTTATTTTTGGTTGGTAGTGCAGCACTTTGGGTAGCCTGCCTTTCTGCCGTAAAGGCGTTGTAATATATTATTCAAGCAATCCATATTAAAGCCGAGTGCGGCTACATTTTGGTGACCTCGTCGTGATTTCATTTTGGTATTTTTTCATTTGTTGTATGGTATGTACATTAATTGAGTTGTAGAAAGTGTTATTTGTTGCTCTTATAATTATTATCTCAAGTTCCATGTATTAAAATTGCATTCTTTCACTAGCCAATCTATTCTTAAATCAGGTTCAGGTATCACTGGCTCAGTGTTACATATAATTTATTTGTATCATATTGTATATCGTATTGTATCAATCACTGTGTCAAGTCAACGAACCATCTAGTCAACCAATTCAACTACATTCATCATGGTGGACAACGATGCCCGTGAATTGCGCAAGTTGAACAAGCAGAAAGAACGAATCCAAGCTGGAGTACAAATAATTAAAAAATATGTGGAAAAATTCGACCCAAGTTCTCAGTCTATTAAGCAATTACAAGTCAGACTGGAGAAACTAAGAACGCATATAGATGCTTTTGACGAAGTTCAAACCCAACTACTTAATTCTGATGAGGCTGCTGACAACATTGATGAACAATTAAAGTTTGGCGATGAAACCTGCACACTAAGAGCAGACATGGAAGATTTGATCAGCAAGCTCAGTGTTGTGGAAGTAGATAATTCGCTTCGTGTATCGCATTCGTCAGSAAGTGATGCGATCATGTTACCTACAATCCAGCCTCCAACATTTAGTGGAAATTTGGAGGACTGGTCATCTTTCTTCGATACGTTCAATGCATTATTTCATAACAATGCATGTTCAAAGGCTCCACTACCTGAAATCAAGTGTTCAGGGCCCTGCTGCTGACATAATTAAAAATTTCTCTATAACAGCTGACAACTACAAAGTGGCATATGAAGAACTAGTTCGTCATTATGAAAACAAAGGGTTTACTATTCAAAGTCATATAAGGTCATTACTACAAACACCTAAGATAGCGGTTGCCTCAGCCAGCGAACTACGAAAACTTCACCACCATGTAGCTTCACATGTACGAGCATTAAGAGCGTTGGGTCAACCTGTCGTTCACTGGGATGCTTGGCTGGTCACCCTGATCTGTGGACAATTAGATTCAAGTACTGCTGGGGAATGGCAGCTCAGACAGGACAGCAAAGACCTACCAACATATGACCAAATAGAAGCATTTTTGGCAAAAAGAATATTTGCGTTTGAGGCTGGTGCATTCACTTCCCTTGGTGTTTCTGAAAGGCAGTATCGTGTCAAGACCCCTCAAAATACTGGCAAAATCTTTTTCACACGGCCTAACGCTAACAAAGTATTGAAATGTGCTTTATGCGCTGGAGCTCATAGTATATATAATTGCAGTGAATTTATCAAGATGACAGTGTCATAGCGGAAAGAAGTGGTTGTTCGGTTGAGGTTATGTTATAATTGTTTAAACTATGGACACCAAGTCAAAGACTGTAGATTTTCTGCATGTCCTACATGCAATAAGCAAGCGACACAACTCAAAATTACATGAGGAGCAAGGTGCCGCTGCTCCTTCTAATCAACCTAACCAATCAGCCAGCAGTGAAGCAAATGCAGTGCTGTGTGCTGAGTTAACCAAGTCTACATCGTCAATGCATGTGATGTTAGCCACTGTCAGTGTCCATGACATAAATGATCGTCCACAGCTATGCAGAGCGGTCCTGGACTCTGGCTCTCAATTGAACCTGATTACATTGTCATGTGTTAAAAGGTTGTGATTTTCTGCTACCCGTTCTACGTGTAACATTGTGGGTGTTGGTGATATGGCTTCTAAGTCCAAGTGCCTACCTTTGACCTATGTGTCGTCTCGCTTCGGAAGTCATAAACGCAGTATCCTACTTCATTCGTTACCAAGCATAGTCAATTCCTTACCCGCTCAGACGATCGACACTGCTAATCTAAACATTCCTGAGCACATAAGAAACCAACTGGCAGATCCGCAGTTCAATGTTCCTGGTTCAATCGACATTCTGGTTGGAACAGAAATGTTCTTCGACATCTTAGGCGGGGAAAAGTGGCCACTTACTGTTTCGTCATCGTTACATAGCACAGATTTTGGATGGATAGTCGTTGGAAAATTGCCAATTGCATCTCGTCAACCTGAGTATCAATCACTATCCCTAACTGGAACTTCATCATTGTCCTTGTTCACAGCAACCAGTTCACAACCTGCAGCTGAGGAACAAACTGAAAGGCATTTCGCGTCTACAGTTTCACGTGATACCAATGGTCGCTTCATAGTGAAACTACCATTTGCACAAGACCCACATGTTTTGGGAGATTCTCGTCAAATGGCTCAAAAACGATTTTTTAACTTGGAAAAACGTTTTGCCAAGGAGCCTGGTCTTGCGCAAAAGTACAAAACATTCATGGCCGAGTATCTCAGTATGGACCACATGGAGGTGGCAGACCCAGAGTATTCTGGTCCTATCTATTATCTGCCCCATCACGCAGTAATAAAATCTGAGAGTCTAACAACGAAGCTCAGAGTTGTATTTGATGGTTCTGCAGTATCCACCTCCGGCCTATCATTGAATGATATATTGCTCAAGGGCCCAAAAACTCAGCCAGATTTAATTAACATATTGTTGCGATTCCGTGTGCATCGAATTGCTGTCACTGCTGACATCGAAAAAATGTACCGGCAGATACGTCTTGCACCTGAAGATTGCGAGCTTCAACGCATTTGTTATCGCGCTAATCCTGATGATCAAATAACAGAGTATAAACTGATAACTGTCACTTATGGCACTAGATCTGCTTCATTCTTGTCAACTAGATGCCTTGCTCAAATTGCTCATGAAACAACTGATATGTCAGTTATGTAGACGATATGTAGACGCGTGTAGACACGTTATGTAGACGATTTGATTAGTGGTGGTGATTCAATTGAAGCAGTTACTGGCATATATCATCAACTACAGCACATTCTAGAGAAATATGGCTTACCTCTACGAAAATGGTGTTCGAGTTCTAGTCAATTTGTAGATCATATACCCAAAGACCAAAGTGATACAAATTTTGTCATTAGTATGATTGATAACGACACTGTGGCAACGTTAGGTCTGCTATGGCAGCCAGCTACTGATAATTTCTTGTTTAGTGTTGAGGACTGGTGTCCACCTCCAAGAATGACTAAACGATCACTACTTTCCGATATAAATAGTGTGTTTGATCCTGTTGGTTTAATATCCCCAGTGTTGATCAAAGGAAAGATTTTTATCCAACAATTATGGGCGCTAAAAATAAATTGGGATGAAGTTCTCTCTGAGGATTTGCAAAGCCGCTGGACCAAGTTCTATTCCAGTTTGCGGCAGTTGAACCAAGTAGCAATTCCCAGAAGAGTAATCGTAGAAGATACATCAAACATTAAACTTCATGTTTTTAGTGACGCATCCCAAGAAGCGTATGGAGCTTGTGCATACATATGCTCACAAACTAGCAGTGGCAATAGTGAAGCCAGGTTGTATATGTCAAAGTCAAGAGTAGCGCCTATAAAATCGACCACAATCCCGAGGCTAGAATTAAATGGAGCTTTGCTGGCCGCAGAACTAGCAAGGGACATATGCGAAGAGCTCAAACTGTTAAACATTGAGGTAGCACACCACAGTGTATTTCTATGGTCAGACTCGTCCATAGTAATTGCCTGGATCAAAAGCAAGTGTAATTTCCAACCGTATGTGTCAAACCGAATCGCTCGCATTCAAGACATTTCCGATCCCAATCAATGGCACCATGTACCCACAAGGGAGAACCCAGCTGACATTGTTTCTCGGGGCATGGATGCATCAGCGATATCCCATTCAAAGTTGTGGTGGCATGGACCGCAATGGTTACAGCAAGAGCCCGCCTCATGGCCCAGCTCTTACCAAGCCCCTGAAGAACTGCCTGAAGTTCGTCCGGTAAAACTAGCATTAGCTACAGCCCGTCAACATGATTCGTGGATGTTGGATCGATATTCAAAGTACATGCAACTTATACGTATCACTGCATTAATTATACGGTTTGTGCAAAATTGCAAATTATCTAAACGACAATGCGAGCGTGTAACTGGATCATTGTCTGTTCATGAGCTCAATGAATCCAGAGAAATCTGGATTCGAAATATTCAAGCAGAAGCCTATTGTTCAGAGCTGAAGAATCTAAAATCCAACTTGCCTGTTCATCGGTCTAGCTGTTTAGTCAAATTAAATCCATTTATTGATCCTAATGGCATTTTGCGAGTTGGAGGTCGCTTAGCTAACGCTCCAATAAAATATGATACAAAGTTTCCGATTGTACTGCCACCATCGTCAACTTTCACACGATTACTATTCAAGTATGAGCATCTGAGGCTATTACATGCTGGCCCACAAGCGTTGCTGTCCTATATTCAAATCAATTATTGGCCCATCCGCGGACGTAACATTGCCAGTCGTACTGTCCATCAATGTATCCAATGCTTCCGTGCTAAGCCAGGATCTATAACACCATTTATGGCCCCATTGCCTCGACAGCGGACCACAATTGAAAGGCCGTTTTCGCGGTGTGGTGTGGACTTCTGTGGTCCAATGATGATTCGCAGTGGTATTCGGCGTGTTAAAAGTGTAAAGGCATACATCTCTGTATTCGTATGTTTGGTAACACGTGCTATTCATTTAGAGCTTGTATCGTCTCTTAGCTCAGATGCATTCTTGGCTACTCTCACTAGATTCATGTCGCGTAGAGGTCAATGTAAACATTTATTTAGTGATAATGGTACCAATTTTGTTGGCGCTAATCGAAAACTTATTGCTCAAATTCAAGAAATAGCCAAAACACATGCAACATCAGTATTCCTCACAGAAAAATCTATACAATGGCATTTCATTCCTCCCGCAGCGCCTCATTTTGGAGGCCTGTGGGAAGCTGCTGTCAAGTCCGCGAAACAACATTTGACAAAACTTTCAATAAATGCAACATTCACCTATGAAGAAGCTACAACATTGTTATGTGGAATAGAGGGAGTGCTGAATTCAAGACCTATGACACCTCTATCTAATGATCCTTCAGACCATCAGGCTCTGACTCCCGCCCATTTTTTAATAGGTGGAGTCATTACGTTACCACCTGAGTCAGATGTGTCCACTGTGCCAATGTCTAGACTCAAGCGGTTCAAATTGGTACAATCATACATGCAAACATTTTGGAAAAGATGGTCTCGAGAGTACCTTCCACAACTGCAGCGCCGAGGCAGATGGWTAAAGGTCACTCGAAACGTGCAAGTGGGTGACTTGTGTCTTCTTCATCAAGAGAATCTCCCGCCTACAAAATGGGTTTTGGTCAGAGTGCAAGAAGTACACCCTGGTCCCGATGGGATAGTTCGAGTGGTCACCTTGCGCAATTCATCGGGTACTACATTTCAACGTCCTGTAGTCAAGTTGTCCTTACTTCCAACAGAAGAAGATGAAACAGAAATACCACCAGAGTCCAGTGAATAGTTACCACCAATCTGTATTGTCAGTTCCTAAAGTATTGAAATTTGTTACCATATGTTATTGTTACCACCATTGTTGGTCTTAAATTATTTAAATTATTAATTATTGTTTGTATTATTATATTGTTTTGTTTTTTATTATTGTTGTTGTTAAAGTCAGCAATTGATTAATCACATGTTATACCCTGCTCTTTTTATTATTACTTTACCAATTGTGATATTATTACCTATTCAATTCTATTTATTGTTATTAACGTTATTCATGTTCATAGTTACAACAATTAATTTTAGTATATTATAGTTATTATTATGTTGAAAGACAAGGGTCTTTCAAGGCGCGGAGGATGTTGTCGCCAACATTGGTTTTTGAATCTTATTCGTTTGGCGGGTTTTTCGTTTTGTGAATTTCATGTTGAGGTACCGGTTCGTATCGTGCGCCACCGCGGTGCGGTTGACAACAGCTGTTGTGTGATAACCGTCCGGTGCGTGCGTGCAGCCGTTATCTCATTTTTCGTTTAAAATGTTTTCGTTATTTCGTATCGTGTGTGTGCGGTCGAAATAAATTCGGTTATGTTGTAATGTTTCATGTATTCTTAAAAGTCATTCTCCTCAGTGTCTCCGACAGGTCCATAAGTTCGCGTGTTTTCATTTGTGTAGGTGGCACTGAGCTTTCGTTTCGTACTTCATACTTWTGTTTTTGTCGTAGTGCTCACATTGTCGTTCGTTTTTCTTGTGCTTCTTTTTCCGCCTCTCGAGCTGCACGGTTATAATTCCCAGCCAGTGGTGTTACATTATATACCATTCGTGTTACTACATTAATTAAAAATTCTTTTTAATATACTCATATTTGT